CAGTTATGTGGAGGTCATTTCACTTGAGGGAGTCCCATATTTATTGTATTTATGTTTCATTTTTTCTTATTCTTTTTCTTTTTGCTCCTCTGATTGAATAGCATATGTTCTACTTTCAAACTCAATGATTCTTTCCTTTGTTTAATTAAATCTGCTATTGGAGCTTTCTCTTGAGATTTTCTCTTCAGATAATGTGTTCTTTATATCTAGAATTTCTATTTGGTTTTTTTCAATTGCTTCTATTCTTTGTCAAGTTTCTCATTCTGCTCTTGAATTATTTTCCAGCTATCACTTGAATTTCTATCTGTATTTTCTTGTGACTCCCTGAACATCTTCAAGTGGGTTATTCTGAATTCTCTGTCAGATGTTTCATAGACCTGCTGTTCTGTTGGGTTTGTTGCTGGTACTTTGTTGGTTTCTTTTGGTAGTGACATTTCTTGTTTTTTTCTTGATCTTGGTGTCCTTACGTTGATGCCTGGGCACTTGAGGAGACTGCTATTTCTTCTATGTTTATAAGTGTTCTTTGGTGGTGTTAAACTTTTACTGGTTAATATCAGAAGTTTGTCTCTGGTCTGTGGGATTTTTTTATTTCTGTCACCACCACTTAGACTCTGCACTGGGGCTAATGTGCTGTCCTGTTGTTAATCCTCAAATGGGGGAACTTCCTATGGGGACCAGAACTTGAACTCTGTGCTTGAGCTAACTTGCCGCATTGCTGCTGATTCCCTAGGGAAGGCTTTTTGTGCAGATTAGATTTTAACTGTGGGCTACACTTCTAGGTCTTGGCTGTGGAGAAATTCCATCCCCAGACTATATCTTTCCTGTAAACTGCACTCTCTGCAGTTCTATCACCATGACCGATTTCCACTGAGACCAGCTGCCCATGCTGCACCCCAGTGTTCCCCTCATGGGCCAGCCTCTCACCTGCACTCCAACTGCATTCCATGGGACAGGGCATGTACCTCTCCTCACTATGAGTCTCCAGTCTCTGGGCAGCTTATTTCTTTGGTCAGCTGTGGTCCCTCACTCCTACATGTTCCCTGGGGAAACCTTCCAGTGGTCCTTCTGGCCTGTGATCTGGTATGGTGTGCTTCAAATCCCTCCTGTCCCTTGCATACTCCAAGCAAGTTTACATGAAGGGTATTGCTGTGGTTTTTGTGGGCTCCTGGAATCTGATCTGTGTGCTGCAGCCACTCCCCACCCCCTACCAGGTTGGCTCAGAAGCAGCCAGGGCTCAAAATGATTAGAGTCATCCCTACTCTCTCTCACTGTGGCCTCTTGTACCTTCACAAACTCCGTGGGTCTTTCCTTCTCTTCCCCTAGCTCCAGCAGTCCCAGGTTGGCAGTCTGCTTTTTAATAATTATAAATTTATTTATTACTTGTGTGGAGGAGCAACACTGGGAATTGTCTATTTTGCCATCTTGATGACATCACTGTCTCGATACATAGTATTTGTTACACCTATAGTCAGGATTAGCTGTTCAATTGTATGTGACATGTGAAGGTAATCTTTTAAGATTTTTGGCTTGAGGGCCAGCCCCGTGGCACACTCGGGAGAGTGTGGGGCTGGGAGTACAGCGACACTCCCGCCACGGGTTTGGATCCTATACAGGACTGGCCGGTGCGCTCACTGGATGAGCGCGGTGCGGGCGACACCACACCAAGGGTTGTGATTGGTGGTGGATTTTTTTGAGATGGGAAACTCTAAATGAAGAGATTTAGATATGGGGGATCAAGAGTGAAGTTTTGTACTTGTCAAGTTGGAGGTACCTGTTGGACATTCAAGTGAAGATGTTGAGTTAGCAGTTGAGTAAATGAGTGTAGATAGAACTCAGTGGAAGGCTATAATGTCATTTTTTTTTCCAGTCGGTCCAGATGAGAGTCACCAACATTATATGATATTAGTCTTAGTGTGTTTTCTGTTGCTTATAACAGAATTTTTGAGATTGGATACTTATAAAGAAGTGAGATTTACTTCTTACATTCCAAAGGCTGGGAAGTCTGAGGTTGAGGGGGTGCATCTTGTAAGAGCCTTCTTGGCTAATGGAGACTCTCCACAAAGTCCCAGTGTGGTGTGGGACATCACATGGTGAGAGGGCTGAGTGTGCTAGCTAGGTCTCTCTTTCTCCTCTTATAAAGCCACTAGTCCTACTCCCATGATAACTCATTAATCCATTAACCCATGAATGGATTAATTCATTTATGGGGGCAGAGGCTTCATGACCCAATTACCTCTTAAAGGCCCCACTTTCAATACTGCCACATCAAGGATTAAGTTTCAATATGAATTTTGGAGAGGACAAACATTCAAATAATCACAGTATTTAAAGCTAGTAAATGAGGGCCGGCCCAGTGGCGCACTGCTACAGTGCGCCGCTTGGGAGCGTGGTGGCGCTCCCGCCGAGGGTTCGGATCCCACATACAGACCGGTTCCCGCTCACTGGCTGAGCGAGGTGTGGGAGCAACACTGAGGGTTGCGATCCCGTTGCTGGTCCCGGTCCGGTACGGGGGCAACAATGAGGGTTGCGATCCGTTGCCAGACACGAAAAAAGACAAAAAGGAAAAAGGAAAAAAAAAAAAAAAAAAGGAAAAAGCTAGTAAATGAGATTACCTAGAAATTGAGTGGGGGCATGGCAGAGAGCACGACAGAGAGGCTGAAAACTGAGTCTGAGGATATTTCAACATGTAGAGGTACACACAAAAGGGAAGATCCAGTAAAGGAGACAAATGTAACAGCTACTGTGTTAGGAAAATAACCAGGAGCATACAGTAATCCTGGAAGGCAGTTGGAGAAAGTATTTCATGGAGGGAATGATCAACTATGCCAGATGTTTGTGAAGTGAAGCTTTGTATTTAACCATTTTATTTGGTAGGGTGGTCATTAGTAACTTTCATAATAATAGTTTCAGTGGAGTGATAGGTATAAAAGTGAACTAGATTCAAGAGAGAATGGGAAATTAGGAAATAGAGACAGTGAGTATATGTAGTTTTTTAAAGGAATTTTCTTATACAGGGGAACAGAGAAACAGAGCTATTGATAGTAAGGGACTTGAAATGAAGGAAGGATTTTTAAATTTGGGATATGTCACACTTTCGTATGCTAATGAAAGCAGTCTATCTGAAAAATAACAAAGGATGATGTAGAGAGAGGGGAGTAAAGTAGGAGCAAAGTTCTTGAGTAGATAAGAGGTGCTGGGATCCAGTGCGCAAGTGTGGTGGTCTTAAAAACAGAAATTGTATGTCATTTTAACCAGGGAGAGGTAGAATATGAGGGTAGTTCAAAAAGTTCATGGAAAATAGAATTAAAAGGTAATATGAATCTTTCCATGAACTTTTTGAAGCATCGTCATATGTGAGTACAGATGCAGAAGGGTAGATTTAGTTAGGGGTTTCAAGATGAAGTATTTCTCTTCTGATTGCTTTCACTTTCCAATGTCTGGTTGTTAACTAAGTTACTAGAGTGGGAGTAGGTTCTTAGAGGTATGAAGAAATGGGAGAAAATGTTCAATATTTTTCTTTTATTCTGAGCATAAGAAAGTGAACTAAATACATTAGTGGAAGGAAAATTTCTGGTCATCACTTGAGGTCAGTGATCATACATTGAAAATGAGATCAAGGGCCGACCCCGTGGCTCACTCGGGAGAGTGCGGTGCTGGGAGCACAGCGGTGATGGTAGGGCCGAGGCCGTGGGTTCAGATCCTATATAGGGATAGCCGGTGCGCTCACTGGCTGAGCGTGGTGCGGGCAACACCAAGCCAAGGGTTGCAATCCCTTACCGGTCACAAAAAAAAAAAAAAAGAAAATGAGATCCACGTTGGGTACATGTGTTTCTCCAACTGTTTTCCACTGTTTGGGTTCAGTTGCAGTGTAAGCAGAATTGTGTTTAATCGGGGTTGGGATTTTGCCAGGTGAACATGACTAAGGGGAAGCTAAACATGGGGTTTTAGTTACAGTAAAGGACTCTGGTATATAGCTTGGTTAGGAAGAAAGTTATGCTATAGGGAAAGATGCTAGACAATGAATAAATGGTAGTCTGTGTACTGAAAGGTCCAGTAAAGTTTGGTCTGGTGATGGGGGCAGGTCAGGGTGTTGTGGTCAGAGAGGGGATTATTGAAATGGGGATTTTGAAAATAAGGAGGATCTATGCCTGCACTGTCCAGTACCATAGCTGCTGGCTACATGTGGCTATTTTGTACTTAAAATTACATGAAATTTTAAATTCATTTCCTCAGTCATGTTAGACACATTTAAAGTGCTAAATGTGTCTGTGGCTGCCATACTGGGCAGCTTATGGGAACGTTTATTCCATTGCAGGAGCACCCAGGAACTTTTTAGAAATTCAGAATTTAAGGCCTGATCCTGCTTTTACTGAAGTAGTATCTACATTTTTTGCAAGATACGCAGGTGATTTGTAAGCACGTTAAAGTTTGAAAAGTACTGAGAGGGGAGTGTGCTTTAGTACAAATGTATAAAGAACCTATTTGTGGTTTATTTTCTGTGAATGTCCGTATATTTTTTGACTCTGACCAAGGGTTACTTTGAGTATTTCAGTATTTAAATACCATATTACTAAATTCGTCTGGGGTTGGTATAATGGGGCAAGAAATGGTATTTCTATTTTTAAACACTATTTTTTTGAGAACACCAAAATGGGGAATACTGAGTTCAGAATTTAATAAATATTTTATTTCTTTACCATCAAATTTTATTTGAATTGATGTTCCCTAGCATTTTACTAATTCAGTAATCCCCCTGAAATTCTCAAAGAATAAGAGTGAACTATATCTACTTGTAACAATATTTAAACATATTATAAATGACCTGGCAAAAGAGGATTCTTTTTTAAAAAATGTTTCAAAGTAAAATAATACTTCTAAAATTGGAATTCAATATAATTTCAAATTTTATACCAATATTATATTAAAGTATGTTTTGTTAAAATGATTTCATATATTTACTGTTCTCGTATTAGTTTCATCATTCTTAACTTGTGTTTTAGGGGATGGATAAGAATGCTTTTGAGAAAAAATATAATACCGTTGGAGTGAATATTTTCCGAACTCACCAGTTGTTCTGTCAAGATGTACTTAAATTGCGTCCTGGGGAAATGGGTATTGTCAGCAATGGCAAAGTAAGTAAAAAAAGGAATTGCTTACTTTTCTGAGTTACACTGTGATACAGTGGGTCTTAAACTTGTTTCTATCACAACACATCTGATGTGATGCACACAGAGGATGGTACTCATGGGCTGAACACACCAGACAGGGCTTAGCATAAATAAAGTGGGCACATGGCATACTCCCTGTCTTCACCCCTTTTTGCGTTTATGATAACAATGAATGCAGGTAAGAAAGAATGTTCTTTATTCATCTAGCTTGTATTTTGTTCTAATACAAGTATTACAACAACTTAGTGCACTTTACAACAGTGTAAAAACCACTGTTGTAGTAGGTGTAGTAAGCAATTACATTGTTACATCTTTTTCTTCTTGTACCTTTTGAGTATGTTAAATGCCAATTACAAATTAGATACTTTTGTAAGTTTTGAAGTATAAGGTAGTGTAAATTGCCACATATTTTTAATATAATCTTTAAAAAGCTTTAGGAAAAAAATCATTCTTATTTCCATCATCCTAGTAAACTTTGCTATTAATAGTTTATTGTCTTACCTTCTAACATATGTAGATAACCATTTTATTTTTTTTAATATGTGATTGTTATCTTCTATATATAATACATATATATAATATTCTATATTGTGCTTTTTTACCTTAATATATCATGAACATTTTTATGAGAAGAGTCTTTATAGGCACATACAAAATGGGTGATATCTACATATTAATATTTTTTTGAGTATGGTAGTCTGATTTTATTTTTTACTAATTGCTTAACTAAAAAAACCTAGTGCTTACATTTATTAAGAAACAAACTAATGCAGTACGTTTGACATATCTCTGGCTTGAATTATCAAATTTATATTTCTAAATCATCTTCAAAGCTCTAATACACTTTTAATGTTTTCTTTTTTTCCATATTTTTATGAACTCTGTTCACCTGCATGTCAGACTCAGGTTCATCTGTGTACAGTGCTATTTTACAAATTGGTGACAGCAGTTGCCATTTCTTATTGTAAAAAGTATAAGTGAATGATAGTAAGCTATGTAGACACCCAGAAATGGCATTGCTTTTTCTTTTAACAGTTTTTTTTGTGGGGAGATACAGCTTTTTAAAACAGTTTTAAGGTATATGACTATCTGTGGCTGTGTCAGACATTTTAAGGGATAAAGAGGGGAAAAAATGGGACCTGCTATATCTAGTACCTTGCCTTTTGGTTATACATTAGAGAAAATCTACTCTTTTCTTTGTCATTGTTTAATATAATTCATAGTGTTATCAATATTAATAACAAGTATGAGTTATAGTTATGTTCAACTTAGTTTTCCTAAAACTATGTTTTCTTCTCACTTTCCTTAAAATTGACAAAAAATATTCAGATATCAATTTCATATCCACTGTGAACCAAATATTCTTCTAGGTTGGAATGGTATAGCAGTGAACAAATGTTTTTCATGGGACTGATATTTTGGTGGGCAGAGACAGACAACAAATAGCATCTTTACTGTTGTCTGTCTTAGTCTTTTTGTGCTGCTGTAACAAAATCCTACAGGCTGGGTAATTTATAAAGAACAGACTTTTATTTCTTACAGTTCTGGAGGCTGAGAAGTCCAAGGTCAGGGCACCAGTATTGGTGTCTGATGAGTGCTAATCTCTGCTTCTAAGATGGCGCCTTTGCTGCTATGTCCTTAGGTGGCAGAAGGACAAGAGAGTGCTTCCTTCATCCTTAAGCTCTTTTATTATAAGGATGCTAATCTCATTCATGAGGGCAGAGCCCTCACTACTTAATCACCTCCCAGAGGCCACACTGTTAATAATACAACATTGGCCATTAAGTTTCAACACATAAAACTTTTCTTAGTCCATTTCATGCTGCTATAACAAAATATCTGAGACCAGGTAATTTATAAAGAACAAAAATTTATTCTCTCACAGTTCTGGAGGCTAGAAAGTCCAATATCAAGGCACCAGTATCTGATGTGGGCTTTCTTGCTGCATCCTTACATGGCAGAAGGTGGAAGGGCAAAAAGGGGATGAACGCTTCCCACATAATAGAAGAGCAGAAGAGAGTGAACCCACTCCCACAAGCAGTATTAATCCATTCATTAGGGACGAGTCCTCATGACATAAACATCTGCATTAGGCCTCACCTCCCAACACTTTTGTATTGGGGATTAAGTTTTAGCATGAGTTTTGGAGGAGACAAAACATCCAAACCATAGCACGTTAAGACCATAGCATTATGATTTAGACAGAGAACCGAAGGAGGTAGGGGAGCAGGTCATGTCAAATATCTGGAACAGGAATGTTCTAGGCAGATATCATTTAGACAGAGAAGCAAAAGAGGTGGAGGAGCAGACCATGTCAAATATCTGGAACAGGAATGTTCTACACAGAGGGAGTGGTGACTTCAAAGGTCCTGAGATGAGATCATGTCTGAATTCTGTGAATCATGTCTGCTATTCTAGGAATAGGAGGTAGGAAAAGAGTAGACAGGAGAGAAGCTCAGAAAAGTAGCTGGGGCCAGATCATGTAGGATTTTTTATGCAGTTTAAGGACTTCTGCTTTACTGTGAATGAGTTGGGAAGTTCATAGTTCTGGGCAGGAGATTGACATCATGTTTTATTTGGATCAGTAATAGCTGTTACCTTGAGAATACACTGAATGGGGTCAGTGAGCCAGTTAGGAAATATAGCAATAGTCCTGGTGAGAGATGATGGTGGCTTGGACCAGAATGGTTCTAGTGGAAGTAGTGAGAAGTGGATGTGGGAAATACTTTGCAGGAAGAATGAATAGGAATTGTTAATAGACTTGGTGTGGGATGTGAGAGCACTAAGTGACTGGTAGAATAGAGTAGATATATATCAAAGTGTGGAAGACTGCAGGATAAGTGGGAATGTTCAGGAGGAGTGAAAAGGGTACAGATAGAGAATTCAGTTCTGGACCTCCAGATAGACTTGCTGAGTAGGCAATTGACTATAAGAGTTGAATTCAGGGGAAAGATTGGGGCTAGAGATAGATTAAATCAAATTATGTTGACTAATGGAAAAGTGTAGTTTTGATTATCTTTTATTTGTGTAGAACTGTGGTTTGAGTAGAAAAGTATAGTATATCTGAAAATAAGTACTGTGGTTTATGAGCTATATTGTAATACTTATTATAGTGTTTGAAAGTAATACTATAAAGCATAACAATTACAGCAGTTGTAGCAGGTAGTTATAATTCTGAATCACATAGCTTAAATGCTTGAAAAAGTATGATAGTTTAGCATGAATCTTCACTCTGACCCTGCCCAAATGTTTATAGTAGAATTGGAACATATTCAATGTTAAAATTGTTTATAAATGACTGACAACTGGGGTGCAATGATGATCTCATAATTTCTTACTGACACAGCAAATTAAAAATTTATCTTTTTATCTAAATAAAACCCTCAATAATGCTATTGTTACAATTATTTTTATTTTAATCATACAACAGATTCACAAATTGCTGAAAGACATGAGGTAGCAGGGAATAGGATAAGCAATGTCTTTTTGTTGTTGTTTTTTGGGGTGTTTTTGCACCAGACAGATCTGGATTCAAATTTTAGTTGCACAATTAATTATATAACTTCTGTAAGAATTGCTTTCTTCATTTGGACAATAGGAATGGTAGTAATCTGTTTTACAGGGTCTTCAGAGAGATTAAATAAACATTTATATGTAAAGCACATGGAACGACCCCAGATATATGGTAAATTTTCAGTAAATATTAACTGCTATTTTCTCTTGAACTATTTGAAGGCTATCATGGAAAATAGTGGGCATATTTGATAGACTTGATTTGTATTACACTAAATTAAAGTCAGTATAGAATCAAGGCCAGTTGATCAGACTTCTGTGAGTGGAGAGAGATTTTTAGCTCAGTATGTGGATGAACATCTAGCAGTTTTCTAAAATTTTAATGAGCTGTCAAATGAGGTAATGCATTTCTGTTATAGTAGCTACTCTGTATCACTGAGGAATCACATGTTCAAAATGTTATAAAGAAGATTTAAGCACAAGACAGATTTTAATGTACTATTACATGATTTTCGAGTTTAATGTTATTTTTTCCTTTTTCCTACGTGAATATTATGTGACGTTATATTTAAGTTACTTTTTTCCACAAATATATTCAGTTTTAAGTAGAAGAACTAAGATGCAGAAGAAAGAAGTTTCTCCTAGCTATCTGATGCTTTGCTTACATAAACGAATAGAGCCAGTTCTCTAGTGAATTTAATCAATAAAGAAAACTAATCTTGGTAATCCCTTAAAATAATTTAAGATTTTATTTTTTTATTCTGAGTTACTAATAAAACTGCCCAAGTCACTAGAGGTAGTACAGATAAGATTCAGCACTTTCCAAGCCTGCCTATTAATAATAGTCCAAAAAATGTAACAGCGAATGTGCTTTCAATGTTACCTTAAAAATTAAATCTAAGGCAATGAAATATTTATATGTGTTCTTTTAATATTATAGTACTCATTTTTTTGTATTTTTGAGAGCCCGTGTTTTATATTTAAGATGAAACATGATATTTGTGTAGTTGAGGTGCAAACATCCCAGCTAAAGTCACCTTTGATATGAGCAAATGAGAATAGAAAGATTCAAGAACTATACTTCAGTAAATTTTTGAAAATGTTAATTGGAGAAGCAGATGAAGGGGAAGTGAGAAAATCTGGCTACAACCATTACGTTCTGATCTTTTTAGCAAAAAAATTGTTATGAAATATAATTGTTTCATACATAAGACTATGTCAGTCTCGCCTTCTACATCAGGACTTTGTGTACATATTATGGTGATTGCATGTATTAACTTCCTTAGAAAATGCTCATGGTATGTGTTGAGCATCTGTAATCTGAAATCTGAAATGCTCCAAAATTTAAAACTTTTGGAGTGCTGGCATGATGCCCAAAGGAAATGCCCATTGGAGTATTTCGGATTTTGGATTTTCAGATTAGGAGTGTTCAACCAGGACGTATTCTGAAAATATTCCAAAATCCATAAAAATACAAAATCTGGAACATTTCTGGTCCCAAGCATTTGGGATAGGGATACTCAACCTGTAGGTGGTGGTTGTGATGGAATAGCCATCCTGAGAAATTAGGTATGTGGCAATTTGACAATTTCTCACTCTGTACTTACGGGTTTAAAGCTAAACTAAGTGACCTTGCTGTGTTCCAGACCATTTATACAATATCAGTTCAATGAAGATTGGTTGGTATTGCTATAGTAACTATGTGATTTGTCTCTTGGTTTTTGCTATTTTGTGGCTTGCTAATATAATAATTAATATTATTAATTATAGTATTATTATGGTGTTGTATACTATAATCTACAGGTCAATATGAAAGAAAATTGAAATTAAGATATTTATGAAATAGAGACAATTGCTTTCATAATTTAATTTAGAATGAAAAGTTCCATGTATTTGGAAGCATCATGGTTTATGTTTCAAAGTAAAACTTTCTAATTGAAATAATTTGCTACTTTTTTATTTTGTTACTTTGGTTTCCGTGTTTATGCAAATATTATTCATAATACCAAAGTGAGAAGATGTTTTTCGCTTTGTTTCGTAGTAGACTTAGTAAATGGTGGGATTAATAGCTACCACCTCTTTAATCTCTAGTCAATTTTTGCTTAACAAAGAAATATCTGATGAGAAAATATTTTTTCTAAACTGATATCTTCTAGAAGATATACAATAATATAACTGTTTTTATTTTAAGTTCTTAGGACCGTTGAATGAAGATTTCTATGCAGAAGATTTTTATTTGTTGGAAAAGATAACATTTAGTAGTTTATTAGAGGAAATTATAGACATTGTTGAAAATATGGAAATCAACCCAAAGAAGTAAGTATTTAAAATCATAAGAGCAATTCATTTTGGAGTTTGGTATTTTGCACCTGATGATTTCTTTTTAAGATTAGAAGATGTTTCAAATATGTAGAAAAGTAAAGATATAGTAAAAGATGTATAGAAAATATGAAGAAATAATAAAAGGCATCCATTTACTCACCACCATCAAGCTGTAAGTGTTCGTTTTATTTGCCTTGGATCTGACTGTCTCTGTTTCTTACCCACCCATCCCAATCTCCTTCCTCATCAAGAGATAATCATTTTCCTAAAGGTTTGTGTGGATGATTCTCATATCTGTGTTTATCCTTTTGCTTCATGTGTAAATGTCCATTATTAGTGTTTATTGTGTTGAATGCCTTGACTTTTTTAGAGAAATGCTATTATTCTGTAGGTCTTCTTTTGCAGTCTACTTCCTTAGGAGCCATGTTCATGTATATAGAGCCTTTTTTTTTTTTTTCCTTTTTGTCTTTTTTCGTGACCGGCAATGGATCGCAACCCTCAGTGTCACGGCCATACTGGGCCGGGACTGGCAACGGAATCGCAACCCTCGGTGTTGCCCCCGCACCTCGCTCAGCCAGTGAGCGGCCGGTCTGTATGTGGGATCTGAACCCTCGGCGGGAGCGCCGGCGTACTCCCAAGCGGTGCACTGTAGCAGTGCGCCACCAGGCCGGCCCAATATAGAGCCTTTTTTAAGGCATTAATTATAACATGAAATATAAACTTTCTCTTTCAAAAAAATTTATACATTTTTTTGTCTTGTTTATCTAGCGTGAGTGACTTTGTTATGAAAGTTGATGCCCTTGTCTCGTCTTTGCCCAAGGGTAAATCTCGGTATGATGTTACATTTCTTAAAGAGAGTTACAGGTAAGAATATACCTATTTGTGTTTTTTTCTTTCAGTGCATGCTATAATCAATTATTGTTTCCATTTGTTTTCATAATATAGTAAAATTTAAAGTAGAAGTAAACGTTTTTTGTTAGATAATGAATGTATTTGACAATATTAGGAAAAGAAATTCCAGTTAGTTATACATTCTAGTAAATAAAGGATGATATATATATAGAATACGAAGTTTCAAGTAAGTTTTACCTAGTATGATTTGTCTTATTCTTAATGTCTTTCTTTCAAGCCCAAGATCATTTGTAAGTTTTACAGTATCTTGGGATAATCATTATAAATTAGATCTTTATGTTTTCAATGTGTAAAAGACTCAGTTACTAAAGAGTTCTGATTAATCAATATAGAGTTACTTGTACACACAGTTGTCCTCATATATCTTATGAAATTTCAAATAGTAAATATAACAGTTTGTCGAAAGTGTGTTCTATGGAACACTGCTCTGGGATGTTGACAGATATGTTCTGAGTGGAAAACTGGTATCTGGTCAAGTAAGTTTCAGGGACACTGCATCTTATATACCCCTTTTAGAGATTCTCAGTGTGCATTTGCATATTAATGGTTCTGAGAATTTGTGCAGTTAAAAGAAGGTGAAGAAAAGAAAATTTCATTTTTGGTTAATCCAGCAGTTTATCCATGGAACATTTATCCATGGAACACATATTTGTCAAAAGATTATTATTATCTCACAAAAATTAGGCTTCAAAAGATAGCCAACAGAGAAATACTGTTTTAGAATAATGAACTAGTTTATAATTTCACTATATAGCAGCTCCTCTAAAATATTTGAAATAAAGTACCTCAGGCTCCATCTATGTGCTTACAATTATCTGTGTCACCACAAAGGAACTTTTTTTGTTGTTTTTAATTAAGGGTCACTTAGAATTGGGAACAAAATTAATAAAACATTATATAAGTAAACTATAGACATGTTTTATTATATGATCTTATTCTAATCACCATTCTTTTTTTTTTTTCCCCTTTTTGTCTTTTTTCGTGTCCGGCAACGGACCGCAACCCTCAGTGTCGCGCCCGTACCGGACCGGGACCGGCAACGGGATCGCAACCCTCGGTGCTGCGCCCGCCCCTCGCTCAGCCAGTGAGCGGGAACCGGTCTGCATGTGGGATCCGAACCCTCGGTGGGAGCACCACCGCACTCCCAAGCGGCGCACTGTAGCAGTGCGCCACTGGGCCGGCCCTCTAATCACCATTCTTATAAAACTAAATTGAGATAAATTACTTTAATGCAGACTTAAAATGACTGACATTTTCTTGTAAGTTTTCTGATTTTTATGGTAGATGCAGCCTTAGGTTGCTTATGTTTACTCTTTAGAGATAGCATGTGCTTTACCTGTAGAGAAGTCTGTCTTTTTAGGTATCTTCACACAGGTATACTATTATCATCCTCAGGGAAAATTACTTCCTGGAGAGAAATGATCTAGCATTGTTGGCAATTAAGTTTTCATTTACTTTTTCAGATTACTGAGACTGAATACTTTTAAGTATTTTAAATACATTTAATGGGATTCTTTTCACAAACTTCTTAGATTTCTTAAATAGCATGTGGTAAAATAATTTAACACAAATTATTCAAAGCTGTCATTGTAAACATCAGTTATTGTGCAGTTCCATCAAGTTATGTTTAAGAATTTTGATATGTTTTGAGCTATTTATTCCCACATTAAATGCCTGAAACATTTGATCTTTTATAGTTTGTTATTATAGTCTCCCACTTCCTTTTCCCAGCTTTCACATCTATCAGTGTGTCATGCTACCTTATTTTATACAAAAGGAAGGGTATGGTGTGACTTTGTGACCATGGTTTTTAGTTCTCCAGATTTTTGTTTATTTCTGGAACATTATTACAAATGTTTATAAATGTGTATGAAGTATGTATATGTATTGAACTGCATGAGTGTTTATATAACAATATTCACTTAGTGCCAGCCCTTTATAACACAAAGTCAATAAAAGGCCACTTTCTGAGTTCTTGTAAATAATTTAGGCATTTTTTTGTTTTCCTTATGTTTACATATGTTGCTAAGATATATTTATTTAGATCAACTTAGGTTTTGCAATACATTAGCTTTCTTATCAAAAAAAAAAACCCAGCATTTGAATCCCAATCTACCAGTTAACTAGCTGTGTGATCTCTCAGTCTCAGTTTCTTAGTCTGTAAAGTATAGATGATGTTCCCTACCCTTCAGGGGTTATGAGATTGACGCCTACTGCCTTGAATATAGTAGCTGTTATTTGTATTTTTTTTTTTTTTTTGTCTTTTTGTCTTTTTTCCGTGTCCGGCAACGGATCGCAACCCTCAGTGTTGCCCCCGTACCGGACCGGGGACCGGCAACGGGATCGCAAGCCTCTCAATAAAAGGCCACTTTCTGAGTTCTTGTAAATAATTTAGGCATTTTTTTGTTTTCCTTATGTTTACATATGTTGCTAAGATATATTTATTTAGATCAACTTAGGTTTTGCAATACATTAGCTTTCTTATCAAAAAAAAAAACCCAGCATTTGAATCCCAATCTACCAGTTAACTAGCTGTGTGATCTCTCAGTCTCAGTTTCTTAGTCTGTAAAGTATAGATGATGTTCCCTACCCTTCAGGGGTTATGAGATTGACGCCTACTGCCTTGAATATAGTAGCTGTTATTTGTATTTTTTTTTTTTTTTTGTCTTTTTGTCTTTTTTCCGTGTCCGGCAACGGATCGCAACCCTCAGTGTTGCCCCCGTACCAGACCGGGGACCGGCAACGGGATCGCAACCCTCAGCGTTGCTCCCACGCCTCGCTCAGCCAGTGAGCGGGAACCGGTCTGTATGTGGGATCCGAACCCTCAGGCGGGAGCGCCGCCGCGCTTCCCAAGCGGCGCACTATCCAGTGCGCCACCGGGCCGGCCCCTTATTTGTATTTTTTACACAAATAATGAGGTACCACTCATAATTTGGAAATAAGATTGAACCTGAGAGTTAAACCATAAAATCAACACATGTAAATCAGGGGAGAGATGTGCACATCTACTTGAAATGGAGGACCCAGGCCAGCAGAACTTAATGATAACCTGATTGAAGGTATTAATTTATTGAAGAAACAGTGACTTTGTGCGTTGTATTTGTGTTGGAAGCCTAGGAAAAGTGGAGAGAAATACCTTAGCAATGCTGGACTGTATAATCAGGGTTCAATCAGAGCAGTAGAAACACAATGTGTGTGCACACACATGTATTGACCTGTATACATATACGTATTTGTATGTATATGGGGGGGTGCATAGATAAGAATTTATTTTAGTTGTTTGTTTGTAAAGGAATTATTTTTATAAGACTTGACCTTACACAAATGTGGGACTGGTTAAGCATTTCCTGTAAGGCTATTGACTTCTGGTGCTGGAGCTTGAAGTTTAGGGTTCAATTAGGAAGAGGACATGGCTGTAAAGAGGGGGGATCAAGAGCAAGCTGAAACCCCACACGGATGGACTGGAAAAAAAATGATTTCCTATATGATTATAGTGTTAAAATAGTAATTCACTTGGAATATTCTATACTTTGAATCAAATACATACTGTTAACTTTTAATTATGCGAAATATAAAATTAATTATCTCCTGCTGCCATTTTCTGTACCTTTAATCATTTTCCCATTTCCCTTTAAAGATTAGTTCATCTTCTAATTTAGAACTTAAGTCAATGAAAGACAAAATGGAGAGGACAGGGAGGGAAGTGAGGTGAGGAAGACTGGGATCAAAATAAAGTATGATAAATTTGAGTGTTTTTGTTCCTGAACTTCCCTGTTACAATATGTTGATTTTTTGAAATACTTAATGTATCTATTTATTTATTTTTATTGAAATGTAATTGATTATACATATTTGTGGGGTACAGAGTTGAATATCAATATGTATGTACAATATGTGATGATCAAATCAGGAAAATTAATATAGTCATCTTTATAAAACATAATCATTCTAAATATAATGAAAGTGTGAAATAGTTAATTTTATTCTCAGATCTGAGGAACTATATTCAGCTAACATAGAAGCATCTTCACTTTATTTTTTATCATGTATGATCCATGAGAATTTTGAGGGCCTAAAATTATTAGAGTTTTTACTGTAATAGTATTGTTCTTTGAAGGGTTTTTTATAAATCACTTGTTCTTAAAATCTTACTTTTATTTTCTCTAATTCCTTCCAGTTTTATAGTTTGTTGAACACAGACATTAGACTTTTAATTTGTGTTTTATTGTGTGAAATAACCAGGATTTTTTAATCTAGTGAGAAAGAAAACAATTTATGAGAAAGTATGTAGCTAAAATCATGATTAGTTAGGTATTTGTATAAATTTAACCCATTATCGTTCATCTTATTTTCTATTTTCCTAGCATTATAAAAATAAATCCACAAGAGAATGACGTGTTCTTTGAAGTCATTGCTATTGTTGATCCATTGACAAGAGAAGCACAGAAGATGGCACAGTTATTAGCCGTAAGATAATATAAATTAGACTAAATGTTTTTATTTTGAAATTTATAATTTTTTCAAGCCTGTTTTCAAGTATAATCAAATGTTTGTGCTCTTGATTCTTTACTTCATCCAACATTTTAATAGCTTGTCATATTTCAGTGCCTTGAATATAGTAGCTGAATATAGGTCTCTAATTTGTAGAAAATGAAACAATAGACCTATGCATATAGTGTTATGGCAGTGCTGAGGCTAGGTATTGCTATGGGTTGTGATTCCCACAAAATTAATATTGCAACACATTAAATATATTTTGATGAATTTCAAGCTCTAACTCCCAGCGTGACTGTTTCTGGAGATAGGGCCTTTAGGAGATAAGGTTAAGTGAGGTCATAAGGGTGAGGCCCTAATCCAGTATTGTTGATGGCCTTATAAGAAGAGAAAGAGAGAGAGAGAGATCTCGCTGTTTTTCCTTGAGTGTACAAAAAGCTCATATGAGCACACAGCAACATGCGGCTGCCTACAAACCAGGAAGAGAGTTCTCACTGGAAACCAAATGAGCCAGCACCTTGATTTTGGATTTCCTAGCCTCCAGAACTGTAAGAAAATAAATTTCTATTTTTATTTAAGGCACCTTGTCTGTGGTATTTTGTTATGGCAGCCCAAGCAGACTAATATGGATGTCTTCCCCATGTTGCAAAGGGTGGCTTTTGGAAAAGCTGATGCTTAAGCTTAATCAGGTGAAGCTTGAAGTGTAATAACTAAAGTTAGCCAAACAGGCAAAGCTGAGGGAAGGGGGAACATAGAGGTTATATTCAATAGGTGTGGACATTATAACAAAGGCCAAAATAACGGTACCGTCATCAAGACTGATGTGTCTTTCTTTCATCTAAAAGTTCAAGTGTAAGCTGCCTGGGGTTGCTAAGGCAGCTCCACAGTGTGAGGGATTCAGGCACCTGCTGTCTAGTTCAACTATCCTCCTGAAGCACCTTCTGTCTAGTGGTCCAGAATCACTTGTCAAGCTCCTAACATCATCTCTGTATTTTTGCCAGCAGGAAGGGGAGAACAAGGGCACAACCCCCAAAGTTAGACATATTCTGTCCTATCACTTCTCACTGACTAGAGTGTAGCCAGTCATCTGGTTCCACTTAGTGAAAAGAGAGGCTGGAAACTATTGGCACAAGCCCCACATAAACCTGAAAATTCTTTCACTAAAAGAGTGGGGAGGAATGAATGTTAGGAAACAGCTATCAATCTCCAAAAGGACATTGTGTGGCTTACCGTTTTACTGAGAATTTTAAAGTTTCAAATTGTAATGCAGCTTCCACTAGCTAAATTTTCAAAAGCTAATTACATCAGGCTATATGTTTTTCTAAAGACACTTTTTTTTTTCCTTTTTGTCTTTTTTACTGACCGGTAACGGGATCGCAACCCTCAGTGTCGCACCCGTACCGGGGACCGGCAACAGGATCGCAACCCTCGGTGTTGCGCCCGCTCCGTGCTCAGCCAGTGAGCGGGAACCGGTCTCCACATGGGGTTCTCCACATGGGATCCGAACCCTCGGCGGGAGCGCCACCGCGCTCCCAAGCGGCGCACTATCCAGTGCGTCACCAGGCCGGCCCTAAAGACACATTTTTAAAAAATATTCTCAGAAATGCAAACTATTTGCCCTTTGACAGTTGACTTTACTTTTGGGAACAGGCAAGACTAATTAGATGGCCTGATGAATGACGTGAACAATCAAGCTGGGTGATACTGGTGTATATTCTATTGAAATTTCAAAACATAATTTTTCTTAGAAATTAGTTTTCATTGCCAAATCATATTGGAAAAAGTGATTATAAATATCTGTTATAAATGTATTAATGTAGACAAATGCTAGGGTGCTTCAAAAACCTCATGGAAAGATTCATGTTATCCTTTAATTCTATTTTTCCATCAATTTGAAATACCCTTGTAATTTTGGAAAGACTTTGCTATTCTAGCTGTTCAGTATATGAGCTGGACAAACCTAATCCCATAGCTGATTTCTCCGTTCTTTCTTTTAGCATTCATTTATATGTCTTTGAATTTGTACTTCTTGAGATATACTATTTAGATTATTCTGTAGAAAACAGCAGTCAGTAGTTATATCTGTAAGGAATGGAGCTAGAATGATGCTTTTCAGTGTATAAATTCTCTATTCCTATGGAGAGTCAGTATTCAGAAAAAAATTTATTACTTACATTGGGAACTTTTTATGTAAAGGTAGAATTTAGGAATAAGAAATATGGAATTACAAAGAGAAAAAAGGAAAATTTGCATTCCATTTTACATTATTGGTAATAATTGTATTCTTCATTTCTGAACAACTTAATTTCTTTACAAAAGACTAAGTTAATTTATTGGAAGAAATAGATATTGTTTTATCTAACACTTGAGAAAAACAGTGGTTCAATGACTTTCATAGTAGCAAATATGAGGAGTGATTTAATAGGAATTAAAACTCAAAGCTCTTAAATCCTTAGTCAGTATGTTTTAATTCCTCATCGAGCCTATATCCTTTCTGTTACACATGTATATTTTTTGGCTTCTTCCTTTACCTATATCCCTTGTTGTTTAATAGCTTTCAAGGGCCGAGCCTGTGGCGCACTCAGGAGAGTGCGGCGCTGGGAGCGCAGCAGCGCTCCCGCCGCAGGTTCGGATCATATATAGGGATGACCGGTGCACTCACAGCACTCACTGGCTGAGCGCGGTGCGGCTGGTCTCAAAAAGGACAAAGAAAAAAAAAATAATAGCTTTCAATCTTCACTGACTTGTCACTCATGTAGAGATGGGGACCATAAAAAGTAATAATTCCTCTCCTACTTCTTATGCTCCGGGGAAATAAAAAGAAAGTAAAATAAAGTACTTCTTCTGAAGGTAGCTAAGAACTTTCTACACCTTTCAAAATGTACGGTTAAGTTCTAAAAGGATCAGGGTACCCTTGCCCATGTTGTAAGGTCTCTAATTTGTATTTGCAGATCAAGGTTCTAGTGATTGTTTTACTTGTTCTTTAATACTAAGGAGATTTAGATACTATGAAAGAAAGTCTCTTTAGGCAAAATGCAGGCAACATACACCCAGGGCACTGAAATAAACTGTTTGAGTTCAAATCTTACCTCTGCCATGACTTCCTGTGTGACCTTGGGCAAGTTACTTAATCTCTCTGTATCTCAATTGTAAAAGTATTACTTGAGAGGGGCATTGTGAGGATCAAATGAGATGATGCGCATGAAGTGTTTATGCAGTGCCTGATATGTAGTAAATGCTCGATAAATGTTAGCTATTAATATTATTTAATATCAAACATAGGAATTTTTTTCATAGGTACTTGGCAAGATTATCAACATGAAGATAAAGTTGTTCATGAACTGTAAGGGTAAGCTTTCAGAAGCCCCTTTAGAAAGGTGAGTCTGAGTGAATGTAATTTCATTTTGAAAGATTTGCAAATGCTAAGAAAAAAGGGCCATTTTTCCTGGACCTGTTTTTGGTTTTTTATTTTCCTTCACTGAAATGCATCAGAAGTTCAGACAGTTTATTAACCTTAATGGATATAAAATTAAAATAACCTAAGCAGTAAATTGACCCAATCTAATTATAGAATTTACATGTATTTGCATTTATCCCTAAGTATTTTTAGAAATGTGATTTAGGAATACCTATTTAGAAATATATCAATGGAAAATAAGGTTGAATTAAAACATTTTTGGTTTAGTTATACTTTAAATACTTATTCAGAGCCAAATTATCCAATTGATCTATATCATCACATTTACTATTTGGGGGTATTGGGATGCAATCAGTTTAGAATAATCTGTCAGTGATATAGGAAATGTTGTTTTTATTATATACAAATATTCCTCATTAATACTGTTCCATTGAAATAACATCTTTTCTCAAGAGGGGACAAAAATATACCCTTTCTCTTCTTTCTGGATTGGAATCACTATCGTTGTGAGCCACTCTTACTGATAGGAATATTCAATATCCTTCAGGTGTCATTGGGCAGAAAAAAGGATATACACAATTGGACTAGTAGAGCTTTGTAAGATTTGTTAATGTACTTTTCTCTGTATAATTTAGTTATGTAACTAAATAAAATATATATGTATACACACGAGACAGAAAAGTAGCATTCATTTAATCCCTTGTTTACTTTTTGAATTATATTTGTTACAAATGATATACCAAAGATTATTGCCTTGAGCAGACATTTTAAATATGGTAAGTATTTTTAATACTTGGAAAACAATAAAATGGAAAATGTAGAAAATTTGAATAAAAGTTTAGAGTTCATTCATTGCCCCCTTGACACCCCTGTCCTTATATCTTATTGTTTTCATGCTTCTTATTTATATTTTGTATTTTAAATTTTATCATATGCCTATATAAATCTGAACAAAAGCTTTAAATTTGGGGGGCCACTATCAAAAGTGCTCTTAGTTCCTTGAGTATGGAATTTTTATTCATAGGAATAGGGGTCTTCTCCATAGTGTCTCTATAAATCTTTGGAATATATAATAAAGACTGGGAGTATTGAATATATAAGCAAGCATAATTCTGTTGGGAGGGAAAGAACTTGATCTCTAGGTGAAATAATAATGTACGGGACACAGTACAGTCAAGGTATCATTTTTTAAACAACTGTTCATTCAACAGAATTTTATTTACTTGACATATATCAAGCAAACTAGCTTACATATTTCATTTATTTCCAGTTCTTTTCTTTTAGTAAATATGGTCTCATTTATCTCAGAGATGAGAGAAGTTAGGGACAGGAATTCCCTCAACTTCCTACTCTATCTCCTGTACTTTCCCAGCCATCCTATATTGTAGGGGAAGAATAAGATATCTCTCCTCCTCTTTTTTAAGGTGAATATTCCCTCCCTGTTTTGATCCCATGCTTTTCTGTTTGTTCCAGATCCTTGCTTTATCACATATTTTCTTTTTGGTATCTTTAACCTATCTACTAGCCTTTTTTATTCATTCCTTAAGTTATTTAATTTAAAAAATTGCTCCCTTAACTTCTCCTCTAGAGTCCTGACTTTTCTTCCTCTTCTTCACTTCTTCTCATCTAAACTTCTTCAAAGAGTGGTCATACTTTCTCTTCACCTCTTACTGTATCTCTCACTGCAATTTATCTATAACTTCCTCTTTGCCACTGAAATTGCTTTACTAAATTACAAAGAAACTGCTATTTACAATACCCATGGGGATCTTCTTCCTTGACATTTCTGCTGCATTTGACATTACCATGTACTTGTTTGTAGTTACTTCATGACTCTTTTCTCTCCTATCTCTCCTCTTACCTCTCTTCTTTTTTTTTTTTTCCCCCTGGCTCTTCCTGTGTGCTTCTCTGATGAAGCATGCTGGGTATGGCAAGCAACTGAGGGAGTTCTCCAGCCAACAACTAGTGAGGAACTGCAGCTCTTATTCTGACAACCCTTGAGGAACTCAATCCTTGATGGTGAACCTGGAAGTAGATACTTCCCTCCTTGGGCCTTGAGAGAATGACACAGCACAGCTCACACCTTGGTTGCAGTCTCAAAATAGTGAAAGTCACTATTCTTAAAAACATAACTAATTCTTATTAGGCATGATATTGAGGGATAAGGCTAAAGAACAGCAGATGAGTCTGAAAGCTCTGTTAAGCTGCTGCTTTCAATTCAGTCCTGTTTGTTTGTTTTTAATTGAACTTTTAAAATTGGTACTAGGGATCATTTGTTACACTTTGTTAGTCCTCATCGGATCCAGGCCCCACTAATCAGAAACAGCGGCCCTCCAAAAATCTTCACTCAAGATTTTTAAGATGGCGACGGGTCTGGAGCAGCCGTGCCAGGAGACAGCGCGATCCAGAGAAGTGTGCGCTGTGATACCAGAGTACTAATTGCATTTCCAAGAGCAACAAAAAACGAATAATTCTTTCAACAACGATCCTACAATGACAAACAAGCAATAACAGGTTCGAGGTTTTAGGGCCGACACAAAAGAAAACTCCTGAGAGTGCCCAAGCCCTGCTGCGGGTACCAGCGAGCAGCCCAAACAACAAAGGCCAAGTAAGACAGCAGAGACGGCACAGAAACGGAGTGGAATGCGCCGGACCGGCCCAATCTGCGAGCTCTGTGAGTCACCCCCAGGCCAGCCCCACTTGCGGAGCGAAGCCCGACTGCTCCCCGCCCGCCTGGCTCCCGCCTACCACACCAGGCCGGGTGCCCACAACAGAGCTGCCTCCATTTTATCGGGTGGGGGTGGAGATGGCTGGCTTAGTGAGGGCAGGCCAGCCATCTCTCCTTGGCGCGGCTCCGCACTGAGACGTGCCATTTGCTTACCTCTACGCGGGGCACCCCGGGGCCTGTGGACCGGCCTACAATCCCACTCTCCCCGCGGA